AAAGTTATAAATAAATAACGGCCAATAACAGTTGTGCCGGCTATCACACACATGTTGTGTGAGCGACCATTAAAGTGTTAATTAGAACTAGAAAGATTTAAATGCATTATTTAAAAATATTATTTCTGAAAACAAGACATATGAATAAAAAATTCTTTAATGAGAATACGAAAAAAAGATTGAAATGGAATAATAGAAAAATATTATAAAAAATCATATTATAATTTCGAAAGAAAACTTTCAGATCTGCAATGAGTATGGTCAAATGATATTATTGGTACACTCGGTACCGTTGTCTTCTTTGAAATGTATTATACTTTCTTACGTGATTTCTATCGACTCTTCCGTGAGAGAAAAAGAAAGGAAGGAAGAGAGTAAAAGAAAAAGAGAGAGAGAGAGAAAAAAGAGAAAAAAACAATATCGTAGCTCTCCCGACATGGCACTATTTTATTCTCAGCCAATCGCACTAGACTTTTTCTCCTTGCGTATTACGTTGCCGTGGACGGTAATGGAAAGAAGTTTGCATATTATGCAGGCCGCGTACGGATTCTCTATGCATAATGAGCCGTGACGTCGCTGGACTAAAAATAAAGTATTCGCGAGTTAAGGCTCGTCGGTCATCCGATGACTGTTGCTGCGTTGCCAATTTACTAAATAAATTCATATATATATCTCTATATATATCTAAAAAAATAAACCTTATATTATATTTTGTCTATAAAAAAATACCAAACACAAAAGCAATATAGTACGAAAGAAAACTCTTCGATCGTCAAACGATCTTAAAAATAAACGCTTGCCATTTAGTAAATACTAAATAAATTTATATATATATATATATATATATATATATATAATTAATAAAATATATAAATTATTATAATTTATATAATTATTTATAAAATTATATAATTTATATTATAATATAATAACTAAAATATAAATAATATATTAATATAACTACATATAATTATAATTATAATTAATATAATATAATTATAATATAAAATAATATAAAATATAATAATATAATTATATTAAATTAATTATAATTATATGTAGCTATATTAATATATTATAATATAAAATATATATATATATAATTCTAATATAAAATAATATAAAATATAATAATATAATTATATTAAATTAATTATAATTATATGTAGCTATATTAATATATTATAATATAAAATATATATATATATAATTCTAATATAAAATAATATAAAAATAATAATATAAATATAATATAAAATAATAATTTTAATAATTTATATATAATTATATATAATAATATATTTAATTATATGAATATTATATATATGTGTGTGTGAATTTATTTATATATTATTATCTATATATATCCTATATAATATAATAAAATAAACGTTATATATTAAATTTCGTGTATAAAAAAAGCAGAAAATTAACAAACATAGTGTGAATGAAAACTCTTCGAGAAGATAATATCGTGAAACGATCTGAAAAATAAAAAATAAAATAAACAAAAACGTTAGAAAGTGAACGGCTTCTTATAGAAATCCGTTTGTTTTTATTCTCACATTTTTTATTGTAATATAATATATTCCGGTAATTTAAACTCTCCGCGAAACGAATTGTGTTTCTTAATTATCATAAAATTAAATGTTATCATGTATAACGTATTTTACGAGGAAATTATTACAAAATACATATGAAAATATAAACATAAAAATATTATGTAAAAATAAATCAATATAAATAAACAAGGTCTGTTAAATGAAACTATTTTTGGTACCATAAAAAGGAAAAGTCGTAAAATCTTGAGACTTCTCGTGTCTTACCTTTAAATACTCAAGCACCAATCGTTTATGAGAAAAAGAAAGTGAAAAAAGTGAGTAACATAAGATAGAAAGAGAGTGAGTATGATTAGATTGTAAACCGTGCGTTTGGTCAGTTAAATTATTCGGCTTAATGGAGAGGCCCATTAATAATTTATGTCTCGCGTACGTAAATAAGACTGCAAGTTTCCTCACGAGACCATATTACTCTATAAGTGGCAGAACACCAACAACCGTAATGACTCGTTGCCCTATTCAAAGACTGATAAATCATTAGAATTAACTCTATCGATCGCGATTCGCATATAATTAACGTCATTATTCCTATAATATTCTCGATAATCCCGTATTAAATTACCAATTAATCCTCGGGGGCACATAATTTTGTTATCTTTATATCTTTTATTTTATTTATTTTTTATTTTTTTTACTTTCTTCTTTCTCAGTTTCCTCTTTTTTTTCTTCTTCTTCTTCTTCTTCTTCTTCTTCTTCTTCTTCTTCTTCCGATCCGTTAATTCGAATTAAACTTGTCATTACACTATCCGTCGCTACGTGATATCTATGATAAAACACTTAATATATTATATTTCATTTTAAAAAGGAAACTAACTATTAAAAAGAAAAACCAGCTTTCACATTTCTTCGTATACCAACAGATCGTCGTATCTTTCAATATCAAGAACCACGCCTAATCAGATACATGATCGCGTATTAATCCTATTATCTAACTGTCTCGATCATTGACTTTTTTCCTCCGTTTCTTATTATAATTACAAATTACTAACGTACTCCTTCACATATTATCATTTATTATAATATATTATCTCGTCGGATATTACAAAATAAAACATAAACATACCTATATATATATATATATATTTATCTATATATCATTTAACTATCTATTTATCTCTCAATCTTTCTAATACACCTACTTCGGAAGCTAATCAAGATTGAAGACCATAAATAACAATAAAGATATGTTGGTTACGTGTATGACGTTAGAAAATTTACTTTTCTAATAATAATATCTCGAATTCTTTTTTTTTGCGTTAAGAGTTTGTTCGGTAGTAGTAGCATAAGAAATAAATAGTAGCCAAGAGGGTAGCAAAATACTTTACGAGCAAATTTACGTTTAAGAAACGACGGCCAACAGCAACGCGTTGTCTTCTTCGATCCGGAAGGCAATCAGCAATGTACTTATATATATATATATGTACTTGGAACGGCACGCAATTAGCAGTCACATTATATCCTTAGGCTCTTTACAGAGGCCTCTTCGAACACGCAGAGAAACGGTACGTTTCACCCTAGTTAAGATTCATAAGAAAGACGCGCGTTACACGCGACCCGGTGTTCCTCATTAGAGCACTAATTACGTACGATTAGCCCAGCAATTACCTGGGAATACATTATGACCGCGAATCAACTCGCCGAATCGCGATCACGTAGGTGCTTTTGCTCGATGTAGTTCGCGAACGAGTCTCTCTCTCTCTCTCTCTCTCTCTCTCTCTCTCTCTCTCTCTCTCTTTCCTTTTTCTCACAACCAACATAAGAGAGTTTCTTTTACAGATAAGAGAAACGTGATCGTACGACCTAACACGAATTAAATTGTCTCTTTTTTTCAATTTTTGATCGAAAGAATGCTGTATCTTAAATATATGTATATATATTTATATTAAAAACATATTCTAATCGTGCAATTGAAAAAACGTGATTATACAGAAATTTTTAATTTACATTAAATACAATAATATCATTTATTATTATTTTTATTCTTATTTTTCTTTATATGCGTGTATCTAATATCGTACATTATCGTTATTTTGTAATATTATATTTTTCGTATATATAAAAAATATAATAATATTATATTTTTATTAAATATATTTATATATTATATTATAATATAATATATTATATAATATAATAA